TGGTTTATGATTCTCAAAGACCAGTGTTGGGATCCCTTATATATGAAATAAATAAATAATAACTTTCATCTCAAAGACCATTACTTATTATGTTGTGAGAAAAGTGTAATTCTTTTGTTTGGAATGTTTACTGGAAAGATTAGTGTTTTTTTATATGTTTGCTTTGATATATAATAGTTGGCTATTATTTATTTGAATTTTCAATGTTGTGACATTATTTAATAAATAATTTAGATAAATATGTTAGAATTTATGATAATTTTTTTTTAATAAATTTATGTAATTGTGATAAATATTTTGATAATTTAATGTGTCAAATTTTTTGACCCGACTAAATTGAAATGTTGGCTCCGCCACTCTGAACTTGCTTGTAGGAATGTAACAAAAGGAGGAGAAAAAGGAAGCTGAAGCGTGATGTAATCGAAAGGGGAGAGGGTATGGAAAGAAAATGAGAGTAGTGTAGAAGCAAAAAGTTACTTCCACTCGTGTACATGATGAAGCCAAGTGGCTATCGCTTTCATTTCCACCACAAAGGCTTACGTGGCAATTGCCTAAGAATCAGCACACGAGTTCTTGCTTATAATGGGACTGGCCAATTTTGCTTCTGTGGCTGCGTTTGCTAGTGCATCAGAAGTTGATGGAATAGTTCATTTCAATTGGGCTGCTTTTGGAGTGAGTGGATGCTAACCGAAGGAGGAAAGCTACCAATGAAGGTGTTTGAGGTATAAACATAAAGTTATCGATGAAAGTATTTTGATTGAATTGAATGATTATATTATAGAGTTTTTGATTAAATGGTTATGAGTTTTTGATTGATTATATGATAGACTTTGTATTTTGTTGCTCCTCTTTTTTAATATAAATTAAAATTAGTATGAGGTAAAAAAAATAAAACTTAGTCCGTGCATTATCCACATTTAAAATTTAAAAGTTTTTTCCATGAGACAATGTGTTTTTTTTTCTTTTGATATCATCTACTGGTTTATTGGTTACTCGGCTAGTCTAATTCGAATAAAGTGAAATCACATGGGTGACAAAGTTCTTCCTACCAAATTTTAATACAATTACATTCGTAGGGACTCAAATTCGAAACCACTGATTAAGTTGAAATAATCTTAGTGGTTGAGACAATCAATGTTTTAAAGATATTAATATAAAAGACCCTAAGATTGGTATAGTGGTATCTGGTAAGTGATTTGGATATGTTGTATCAGGTTATGTGTTTAATTTTCATTTATATAAAAAAACATTAATATAAAACCTTAAAACCATTTATGTGATCATTATAAAATTAAATCGTTAACCCAATACCATGCAAGCATTGATACTATCAAATGAAGGCTGCTTCATTTGCATAATTTGTAGAAAGGTTAGGCATAGCGTCCTTAAATTAATGTTTATTCCATAAAATATTAATTAGGTGGATGACATTGACAATTAGACAGTCTTTCCCATCTCAGTTCTTTGTCCCTAACTAGAATTTACTAAAGTATTTCTTAGTGGAATTTACTATAAAATGCATTCACATGCTTATATCGTAATCAACATCAATTGGAATTTGGAAGCACGTTGGCTAGAGGCTGCAAAAGATAGCAGGTTTCAAAAGTTTTGGCTCCCTTTAGTTTTTTTGGGAACAAAGTAATGGAATTCTGAGAACTCCACTAACCTCAGCCTTTATGTTGCTTTACAAATCGATCTTTCCTTGTTGTGTGCTATTGTGGTTATTAACTAAGTATACATAACATCCAAAATGGCATTTGCTTCTCCTTATATTCCACGCTAGATTAAGTCGAAAATGACACTACCTCTGATAATTGTCCCAAAATCGCACTGACAAAAAAATTAAAAAAATTTATCCGATGCTAAAAACAAGCATACGAATTGCCTTTAAGAGAAAATTCATCTCATATTCTTATTGTTGGGTATGGCTCATACTTCGCATGTTGATGAGGGCTCTTGTTGTCAGGTCAGCAGAAAGGCTAGGTACTATTGTGAGCCTCTGATTTAATGTAAATTTTTCTTTTCTTAGTAGTTTGTGCTTGGGCCCATGAATAACTGTTGTTAGGGTTTTTCTAATCCTATTTATATTCTCCTTGTAGACCGAGTGACTTGTAACGAGTGGCGGTGAGGTGAATATAGCACAGACAAGCTGGGCCTAACCAAAATTAGGTGAACCAGGATAATCACTGTGTCTATTCTCTCTTTCCCTTTTCGTTTGCGATTTGTGTGATTGTCGATTTCCAACATTGGTATCAAGAGCTTTGGTTCTATGGCCGGGGTTCCTGTGACAGATTGCGATTTCGCGATTTGGGGTTTTTTCTTGCCATAGAGAAAACTGCGAAATTGATTTGGAGAGGATGTCGACTGGACAATCACAAATTGAGGTTGAAAAGTTCGGAGGAAAATGGTTCGAGTTATGGAAGCTGAAGATGGAAACATGAAAGACCAAAACACTCAAAGACACTCCACTCTAACAAGCATATCTTCACAAAATAAAATCAAGCACATGGAAAAATAGAAAAATTTCAGAATAAAAAAGCACCAATTTAAGAGCAAATACCATTGAGGTTTCTAACTTTGAGAGAACAACAAGCAAATGCGAAAACACTGTTGGGATTTTCAACTACACTCAGAATGTATTAGGCTATTAGCCGAGAGAGATAGCATAGATGGGGCCAAATTTTAACTTTAGAAGGGGCCAAATAATAATTAATTATAAAACTATATATATCATAATAAATTTTTTTATAAAATCAATAGGGGCCTAGGGCCCATCTAAGAAGAACGTGGCTACGCCACTGACCACCACATCATCATCGCCGCCACCATCGTCACTACCACCCTCCCACCACCTATACGGCATCATTGTTGCCGCCACCCCCCAAAACCATGCATCGTCGGCCTAACTGCTTCGGCCACAACATCTACCACAACTAATTTTGCCCCCATGATCTGTTTTCGCACATCATTTTTAATAATTTTATACATTAAAAAAGAATTTTATTTTTAACTTCCAAATAGTTTATTTAGTTAAAAGATTTTCCTTAGTACTACACCCAAATGATAAATAGCTCTAAACTTAAATTGTAAGGAAGATTATTTTTTTAAAATTAATTTTATAAATTAAACATAGTAACTTTTGAATCAAAGAAACTAAACTTACGATTAAATAACACGAGATAATTATGTTGTGTCAATTATCAATTACATAAATATGATATGGAAAAAATATGGTAAAAAATATGAAATAAATATATAATTACAATATAAACATGAACTATAAATATTTATTTTAAAAAAAAAAAACCGCCTCCAAAACCGCCTCTATATGAATATATATAAAACCTAAAAAACGCCTCTGAAACCGCCTCTAATTGATAATAAAGAGGCGGTTTGACATATCCGCCTGAGTATATCATTACTTTTGAGGCAAAGTTGAAAAACGCCTCTACAACCGCCTCGAGATGTCTAATAAGGAGGCGGTCTTAAGATAACCGCATCAGAATTTATTCAATATTAAGGCGGTTTGTTCATGCGCCTCCAAAATCGCCTTTATATGATATTTGGAGGCGGTTTAGTTGAAACCGCCTCAGATAAACCGTCGGTATTTACCAATTTTCTTATAGTGAGGGTAGGTTTTGAAGGTACTAGCAATGAAGCTCTGGTTGTTAGAGGGAGGAGTGGTGACAAATCAAAGTCTGGTAACAGAGGTAGATCGAGGGGACGATTAAAGTCCCGAAATAAATATGAAATAAGGTGCTAGAGATACAATCAGGTTGGACATCTGAGAAGAAATTGTAAAAGTAAAAGCGTAGGTCTTGAGAAGCGGGAAGATTCACAACCTTCTGCTTTGGGTACAAGGAAGGAAGGATAATACACTTGAACTCACTTACTACGGTTGGAATATAACTCATTACTGATGGTCTTTCACCATAGACTTCTCCTGGACCCCGCTAATACTAATACTTATGCGTGAAAGGTTTTTTTTTTTTTTCTTTATCTAATGGACATAAGAAACAAAAAACTATTGCCACACGGCACTGGTTACTTTAATTTCCCAGCTGGCATACAAACCCACTAAGGGTATTAAATTAAATATTTTACGTGGCACGCACTTAGCAGTTAGCATATATGTGTATGTAGTAAATAATAATTCAGATTATTTTCTAAAATATTCAATAGTTCTTGTTGAGTGGGATAATAAATTTAAGTTTTTCTTCTTTAAAAATTTAATTTACACTAATTTACTAAAAAATAAATTGTATAAACTGAACTAATATGATGTCATAAAAGATAACAGGTGCAAAGAACAGAGCATATTCGAACGTTTTCCTTTGATGTTGGTGATTCGTGATTGAACCATAATAAGAGATGAGGTACCGATGGTGACCTATCAAATTTCATCAATGAGATTCATGCTGTTGGTGTTGACTTGCACTGAGACCTGAAATGGACCCACTGAGGTCCTTTGTATACGTGTCGACAAGGAAATGCAAGCAAGCGTGTACCCTTTTTTTGACATTCCGAATTAAACAAGTTTTTCAATTCATTTTGCTTCAGTTTCAAGTTTCTACTCATTCCAAGATTCTGAATAGGCAAATCCTTGAGATAACCGTACAAGCTGGTGTTGGGTCAAAGATCATAGTCAAGAAGATAAAAGTTTCTGCTTAAAGTATATATATGCCGATGACTTTTCACAAAGATTAGTGTAAAACCTTATGATTTTGATATGCAACTAGCATTTTATCCTTTAAATAACTAATCCACATAATAACGGATTAATATTCTTTTTAAATAAGTGCAAAGGGTGAGATGAGTGTTAAATTAAACGTTTATTATTAGGATTACTTGAAGAATTCAAACTCATGGCTTTATTATGATAATAGTTATTAGGTCGCATCTAATTTAAAAAGGCTGTAAAATCCATTGCTAAGTTGGAATTTAAATGTATCAATCACTCACCAGACAAAAACCAAAGTGGCAAACAAACTAAGAACCACCTATTTTTGTGCTTTGGAATTTGCGTTGTCCATAAATACCCCTCTCTCACTCTCTTTCTTTCACTTGTGTAAGTGAGCTTAACCTACTTTGCAGCAGTTTTGAGACGCCGTACGTTGTCGGTGGCAGTTGCGGTGGCGGTGATACTTAAGAGAAGATGAAGAATATGTGGAACATAGTGCATGCATTGAAGCCAGCGCTGCTAATGGTGTTGGTGCAGATTGCAAATGCTTGGGTCAATGTGCTCTACAAGCTCGCCGTAAACGATGGCATGAACTTGAGGGTGATTGTTGCCTATCGCTATGTTTTCGCAACTGTTTTCATAGCTCCACTTGCTCTCATTATTGAAAGGTTCATTCTTTAATTAACAACCATTTTTTCATCTCGATCGATTCTCAATACATATATATATACATGCTACAATCATTGTTTTTAATTTTAATTGCAATCTCCATTGCATTACTATTATTGAAATTACCAAAAAATAAGGACAAATATATACTCAAAGCGACTATTATTGAGATCGTAAAACTTCCTAAACTTCAATATATATTGCGGCTTTTGGACTGCAGTTTAAAACACTTATACGTTATAAATCAACATGTACAGTTACTTATTATTCCTTGTTCATTTTATATATATATAATATTAGTAATCATTTTATTTTTTGATTATATAAATTTTAGCTAAGAAAGGCATATATAATCAAGCAAACCATAGCAATTTTTTTCTCCATTAATATTGCTTTCTTTTGTGAGAAATGAGAAGCGTACATGGCTGAAACAGAAAGAATATATATCCTCACAAAAAAAAAAAGAATATATATATATTCGTATTCAATCAATATTTGGGAATGATTGTTTTGTTTTAGTTTTCCAATTTTTAGTGGGTACTGCTGTTTGAGCATTTGGATTCATTGAACCCATTTAAGTATGCATTGGGATTGAGAAATTCCTTTGAAGAACATGTCTATCCATAATCCATTACTATTTTAGATAACTGGAGAAGCAATAGCAACAGTGAAACGGCCCCACTTAAAGAAATCAAATATTTAAAGGTCAAATTAAGAACATGAAACAAGCTAGAGAGATCGAGATAATAATCAAATTGATATGGTGTTTGTTGATAATGATATGCAGGAAGACGAGGACAAAGATGACTTGGACAATACTGTTTCAGGCATTTCTGTGCGGCTTAATTGGGTAAGTATTGCGTTCTTTATTGATATGCTCCTCCATTATATTGTTTGATGCTCTTCTTGCGGTTAACTTTTTGATTTGAAATAAAGTCAAATTTGTGAAAATTTTGGGTGTACATGTGAATTAAGGGAGGCCAATTGTGCAGTCCACATCGTAATCAAGAGTAACTCTTTCTGGTCCGTCAATTGTCTTTCCATTTTTACATTAAAGTTCAGGATGTGGATCATTAATTGTTATTTGCTAATTGCTATGCACTTGGTAACTACAATTTACGAGACTTTTCTAGAGTTTAGATAAACCACTTTGCCCGACGACAACAACTTTAACTCTCTCTCTTTTTTTTATACAAACTTTAACGCTTTTTAAAAAAGAAAATTGAATGATCATTAACCATATAGTGCCATAGGATTTGGCGACTTTAAACTGATGTGTCAATTTAGAGCATCCGACTATGAAAATAAAATTTTAAAATTATACGTATTATTAAGGTTAATAGGAAATATTAATTATTATAAATATTTTTGAGGGATTAGTTAACTATTGATATTAATAACCTATTATTGTTAAAAAAATATTTTTATATTTAAAATAATAAAAATTTAAAATTTAAATAGGGGTGGATGCTAATGTTAGTCCCTCTCTCGGTTCATCCTTGATTTAGAGGAAAAAAGGATGTAAAAATTAACGGTTCAAATTTAATAAAATATAAATATATCTATAATAATTATGAAGCTACTAAAATAAGTTCTCTTGATTTGTCAATAATAATTAAAACACTTTTTTTATTCTATTTAAGTAAAATCCTTTATTTTTCATGCACACATTATTGCTTGAAGCAATGAAGCTTATTTCTATTTCAACATAGACAAAAATTCTTCTTATACATGGATTGCCCTGTGTAAATGGGTCAGGCCGACCTATAGGGGCTTACAGCTTCGCCTATATTAGGCCAAGATTAACCTATTACAAATACTAAAATAGAATATGCCTAGACTTTTAAAAAAACTTATTTAGAAAGCAGACTATAAGCTTTTTTATACATGTTGGGGCCTATAAGCCTACAGGTCGGCTTATATTATATTATTTATTTTAAATAAAATAAATAAAATTATTATTTTAAATAAAATTATTATTTTAATAATTTTGAATAATAAAATAATATTATTTTAGTTATTCTTTTAATTGTTGAATGTTTAATAGGCTTAAACACGCTAACAGGTTTAGGCCAATTCTTTTATTTTTTAAATATAGGTAAGACCAGACTTGTAATTTGTGGCCTACACAGGCTAACAAGTCATGCCAGACTCAATACTTTTTACACAGGCCTGATCTATTTAAGTCAAAGTCTAGTCTAACATAACCTATTTACATCCCTAACCCTCACCTCACTCTCCATTAAAGTCCGACTAGCAAGAGTGGGGGTGAGGGCAATATGCAATCTTACCCTAACATATTTTCTGACATATTTGTAAAGAAATTTTTTTTCGGATTCAAACATGTGAACAAAAAATAACTTTTTCACAACTTCACCTTCACCCTAACTATTTCAACTTAGAAAAAAATAAACATAATTTATTTCAACTTAAATCAGTAAGACAGTAATGCATTACGGAGGGGAGTCAATCTAATATTTTATATACCGATCATCTTTAAATTCAATTATAAAGAAATTATTCATCTTTCGTGCTTCTATTAAATCAGCTCAGTAAATTGTATAGTTTTTTCCTTTTGGTTGTAAAGGAAGTTGGATGACCTAATAAAAGAATAGTATGATAGGTTAACTAAGGGTGTGTTTGGGAGGGAAGGGAATCCAAAAAGGGGAAAAGGAAAATGAAGGGTAATATCTTCTCCTTGTTTGAGAGTTAAATATATGATAAGAGAGAAAAATAAAGAATTAATGAGATATTTTTTACAATTTTATCTTTTCTTAAAAAATTAATATAATTATTATATTTTACAAATAAAATTAAATTTAAAATTTATAAACAATATTTATGTGATTTTCATATTTTAAAAATAATTATTTGTCTAAAAAATTATTTTTCTCTCCCTTTTTTTGGATAAAATTATTTTCTCTCTCTAAAATTGTCTATTTCACATTATAACTAAATTAAAATTATTAAAAAATTTATAAATTGCATATATAAAAGCAAACCACTTATTTCAAAATAATGCGATTGGAAACAAAAAAAAATAGTTTCATCAATTAAATTCAGATAATTTTAAAAATAGAGAAAATAAAAAAAATTGGAAAAAGAGAGTAAGAACACATAAGTAATTTATTATATTTTCCATCTCAGACCCCGGGGAACTCTGATTTTAAGGTTGAGAAGAGTATTAGAAAGTTTTACAAAAAAATTCTATTTTCTTTCCTCATTTTTTAAAACTCACATACATGAGAAAGACATAAGCAAAACATTTTTCTAATTCCTTCAATTTCTCTCTTAATTTTGACTTCCAAACACACCATAAACGGATTTAGTATTGCTTGAGTTAGTGCTCTAGCTCATTGTGGATGATAATCTATATCTTCTTCTTTTTTTCATTTTCTTTTATTTTGTTTTGATTTTTATTTGGCTATGACGTAATTATCTTCTTATTAACTTTTTAGCTAGAGGTGTGCTCTTTCTAATGTACTATTTACATATCAAAGTGACGAAGATCTACACTTTTGATGATTTCATATGCAGCGGAGCATTGCCTCAAAATTTAAACATGGAAGCGCTTGCCTTAACTTCCGTAACGTTTACAACCGCAATATCAAACCTCATTCCAGCCATCACCTTTATCATATCCCTCTCCTTGGGGTAAGAAATATTAAATATAATTTTTTTTATGAACATTCATAGAATTATTAAATTTTTCGAAAGAGGTGACCACTCACATGCTATTATTATTATTATTTTTGAGTTAACTCAATCCTAATTACCTTTTTGAACCGAAATTTTTTTCTTTTCAATTACTCAGCTCATTTGCTACCAACTGAGCTACTATTATTTAGTATTCACATGCTATTTTTAAACCTCCCTAACAAGAAAGCTTCACTTTAACTATTATTTTTTTATACCTACTTCAATTAATTATATGTCTAATCCTTTTCGGGACCGCATAGCGGAAGTTTGATAACACTAAATTATTTTTTTCATTAATTAATTGTCTATTTATTTTCTTTTCTCATAAATCTCAATTTTTTTTAATCAAACAATTAAAGGACAAGACCGTTGCAATTTGGCCTAGCGTTATAATGTGAAATTTTGTTTCCCCCTTGAAATGTCTTCAGTTTGGAAAGATTGAATTTAAGAACAACAGCAGGGAAGGCCAAGATAATTGGAACAGTGACTGGAATTGGGGGGGCAATGGTACTGACTTTCGTTAAAGGCAAGGAAGTTGATATGCTGTCGTTCCACATAAACCTTTTCAATAACCAAAACGGCCACGTCGTACACACACATGCTAGCTCTGGTCTTATGACCATATTGGGGGCTCTCTCCTCTTTAGCCAGCAATGTCTCTTATGCTCTGTGGTTCATCATTCAGGTTTGTTTTGGTTTTGCAACCAACTCGATCTCCTTTTCAGGGTTTTAAATATTGATTGACTAATTACTACTGATGTGAACACATGCAATTTCAAATGCTGATCCTGATCGTTGATATATGTCACACTTTATTGTATAGAGAGATTATATATAATATATTTGGTTATTATTAATTTTGAATAATTGTAGTACAGGCAAAGATGAGTGAAAGATACCCATGTCCTTATTCAAGCACAGCTTTGATGTCTCTAATGGGAGCACTGTTATCCATTTCGTTTGCTTTTTGCCTCGAGAGGGATTTGAGTCAGTGGAGGTTGGGTTGGAATGTTAGGCTATTAACTGTAGCTTATGCGGTATGGTCCACTATTCTTTCCTTTGGCTTTTTCTTTTTTTCTTTTTTTCTTTTTTAGGTTATATATTAATGTTATCTTGTTTTGCACACGGCTAAAGAAAAATGATGTGGATTGATTGGTGTAGGGTATAGTGGTTTCTGGAGTGATGGTAGCTGTGATTTCGTGGTGTATACAAATGAGAGGCCCATTATTTGTGTCCGTTTTCAGCCCTCTAATGCTTGTAGTTGTGGCCTTTGCTGGATCCACGATTTTGGACGAAAAGCTATACGTGGGCAGGTATATCTGCTTTATTATTATTAATAGTATCATCTACCAATAATTAATGTTTACGCAATACACGTAGAGCCAAATTAGTCAAATTTTTCATCTCAAAGTCGTTGAATCAAAAAAGATCAATCAATGGTGTCACATGCTTATAAATCAGAGTCATTGATTTTTTTTATCTAACGGCTCTTAGATGAGGTATCAAATTTAAAATTTGACACTGGATCCTACCTCCGTTACAAAATGAAATTTATTAGTACTTTACAACTTCAAATGGTTGATAAACCATCTATTAATTTGTCCCTATTTACACATTTTTACTGTTTGAATGGACTGTTGAGTTGGATTTATTAGAAAAAGCAACATCCTGTTTTGGCACGACCCAATGTAAGGTCGGAGTCAAATTGAGTCATGGTGTTTGGACTGATAAAGATAAATAAAAAGAGTTAAGTCCTAACTTCCCTAATTGACAACTATAATTTTTGGCCTAATGATAAGTTTTCAATCCAACAATTGATATTAGGAATGAGGTTATGGTTCGAATCCCCGTGATGACACTTTGAATTGATATGTTGGGGAGGAAGAGATTTTAAAATTGAAACTATATGACATATATGAAAATCTCGTTAGGGCTTTTTCCGTTCAAGTTATTAATTAATGTCAAATTATTTTTGTTAAAATTAGTAGCAATGTTTGTTTGCTTTAACTAATTATTTGCTTTATTAATTTCAGCATCATTGGATCAGTGTTGATTATTTGCGGATTATACGTAGTTCTATGGGGTAAAAGCAAGGAGATGAAGAAGAATCATCTGGTGCCATCAGAAAGAACCCATGAATCCGACCCAGTTCAAATAATCGTCAAGTCTCAAGTTGAAGATAAAACCAACCATAAGAACAATACCCTTAATAATGCAGCAAATGCAGTTAGGGGTAATGAAGATTCATTAGAAAATGGAGGTAATAAGCATGTTACACATACACACTATAAAGGGAAAGAAGAAGAAGAAGTAATATATCGGAATGCCTCACATACCTAAACGTTTCATGTAACTTACAAAGATTGATATTATAGTACTGTAGTTTGATTGCCTTCCTTTTCCAATCGCCCAAAACATGCTATGGGCATTTTTGGTACTGACGGAAAAGGAAAAGCACTACTCAGCATAATTCTCTTGGGTTTTCACTATCTATTGTATCTGTTTGTTTGTTAGTATTTTTTTTTTTCTCCTTCTTCGTCTTGAAATCCAACTGTAAAGAACAAAGGGTGTATTTAATTGTAACATAAATTTGGATATGCTAACGCTTTGTTGTAGGATCATTTTAATTTATTTTTAATTTTAACAAAGATAAGTTTTTGGCATATATTGTAACAAACTTGAAGTGAGCAGCTACTAGAGGTGTTCGCGGTCGGATTGGATCGGATTTGGGAGTAAAAGTCATCCGATCCAATTTCTTCGATTTGATCATGTAATCATTTATTCGGTTTGGATTTTTTTTAGATCCGATCCAATCCAATTTTTTTGGTTTGGATTGAATCGATTTTTGTTTTTTTTAAATTCTAAAATTTATTTCATGATTATTGTGCAAGTAACATATTTTGTATATATTGACTTTGTAAAAAAAAAAATGAAATACAGTTATCCAAAAAAAAAATTGAAATACAAAAGCATCACTAAATGATAATATAGCTTTTTTGGGAGAGCAATGAGATATGGAGCTCTACGCAAATGAAATTTTGTAAATGAGATGTGACTAGACTTTTTCTTGAGTTTAGTTGATGGGATCATAGGTCTTGGGTTTAGAAATTTTTAGGCTATGTTTGGAGAAAATCCAAGTAGGTAGATGGGTATTATTATCTTGGATAGGTAGAGGGGTATATATATATATATATATATATATATATATATATATATATATATATATATAGAAAAAATATTTCTACAGTTAATGCATATAAGTTATCTGCATTTATTCCCAAAACGACGTCGTTTTGGTATCAAAATCTTAAGAAATTATAAATATAAAGACTATTATAATCTTGAAATAAATTAAAATTAGAAAAACACCATGATTTCTGTCCTAAAACGACGTCGTATTGGGCTTATAGCAGAACTGCAGTAACTGCAGAAAAAGAAAACCCTATATATATATATATATGAAGCTACAAAAGAAAATTAAAATAAAGAGTCTGAATAGGTCAAAAATTCAAAAGTAAATGTTACAAACAGACACCAAATGATGGTGGCTCAGTTGGTAATGAGGGAGCTTAGTAGTGAAAAAGAAAGGGTCTCAATTCAATCCCCACATGTTACCTTTGGGAGATGCTTAAATATCTTTTCGTCCCGCACTCCAGATTAGTTTCATAATCAGTTCAAAAAGTCGAAACTTGTGGAGATAACGATGAGCCAATTCATCTCAAAGAGGTAATTAGGGTTGGGTAATTCTAAAAACATGTTACAAATGATGTTGGCTCAGTTGGTAATAAGAGAGCTGAGTAAAGAAAGAAAATGATCTCAATTCAATCCCCACATGCTATCTTTGGGAGAGGCTTAAATATTTTATCGTCTCGCACTTTAAATTAGTTTCATAACTGTCTCAAAGAATCGAAACTTGTAGAGATAATTAGGGTTGGGCAACTGTAAAAAAAAATTTACAAACGGACAACAATATTATTCAATTCATTTATTAAATAAATAGTAATTAATTATCATTCAATAAGTATACATTATCGATTCATCATTGATTGGTTGAAAATAAGAGAAATAATTTAGAACTGATAGCTTTGTTAGAAACTGAAAAGTGATAGAAAGAAATTTATTTGGCACTTAATTAAGAATTATGTCACTTTATTAAATATTTTAACTTCGAAATATTTTTATCAGGAAATTGAGAATTAACAGATATGTGACAAGTGACAGAAAATAATTTTTTTAAAAATTGAGGTAATATGTAAATATCGCATTAAATATTGACTATAAAATTAAGAGACCTTAAAAACTAGGGCCTAGAGTTGACTTTAAAAGCCGGCCCAGATTTTTCAATAGTGTCACGGTAATTAATTTATTTGGCATTAAGACTTTTGTAGTTTTGTTCGTGGATTTAATATTTCTTGTGTCGTAAGTCGGGTATATTTTCTCTTTTTCTCTTTTTATCTTATTTGGGCTCATATAGGTCATAACATTTTTATATGTGTGTAAGAGATAAATTTATATCCTACGACATGAGAAACAATAAACTAGTGTTATTAGATCAGGCTTGAATCGGTCGGGTCGACCCAAAACTCGGGAAACCAATTATTGGACCAGTTCGAGTCAAGTATCGGATCAGCCACGTATCGGATCTGGTCAATACCAATCAAAATTGGCGACCCAGTTGTGTCATTAAAATCGGCGGGTCATGCATTTAAAAAAAAACAAATTACATAATTGTCTCATCTTGTCTAAAAAAATGTATAAGTCCTTTCAAAAACTTTTGTAGTTTTGTTTGCTAGTAGTATATTATCCTACACTGACCTCAAATTTTAACTTCGAAGATTGAAGCAATTTACGAAATAGTAAATTAAGATAAGGTGACATATTGATTCCTTACAAATCTATTTTTATGGGAAGCTAGAGTTTTTGGTAAATGTCTTATAATAAAAACATGGTTAGTTAAGGATACTTGGTAGAAGAATTATATGTGGATACATGATACTTGAATTTTCTTTTTTATTTGTTTATATCTTTTACAATATATTGTATGTGGTTACTATATATTACTTTTTTTTATCTCTACAAAAATTGTATATACTTGCAATTCAGTATAAAAATTTTTTACATGTATTTGAATATTTTATGGATAAAAAGTTTTTATGTTTTAATCTGGATCATATGGTTTAATCGATAACCCACTCGTTAAATCAGTGACTTAATATCTTAGGTCGGTTATGATAACATTGCAACAAACCCTTTGTCATATATATTTGATCAATTTTCGAAAAATGAAATCCTAGAGTGGAAGGAATGCATAGATATGTGGAATTGAAAGGATGCCTCACAAACGACTTAACCTACGAGGGGTAATTTTTTGCTTCATCTTTAACTCATACTTTTTAATGTTATGTAGTTTGGAAAAATTAAATTTGAGAACAGTTGTAAGATAGGGGTGTAAATGAATCAGGCTGGTCTATAGTGGTTTATGGCCTAGCCTATATTAGGTTAGACTTAGCCTATTATAAATAATAAAATAGAATAGGCCTAGGCTTCTAAAAAAATTTATTTAGAAAACAAGCTATAGATTTTTTTTGTAAATGTTGGGCCTATAAACTTACAGATCGGCTTATATCATATTATTTATTTTAAATAAAATTATTTTTTTAATAATTTTGAATAATAAAATAATATTATTTTTGTTTGTTTTAATTGTTAAATGTTTAATAGATTTAAATAGGCTAACAGACCTAGGTTACAGCTTTTATTTTTTAAATATAGATCAAGTCAGACTTGTAATTTGAAATCTAATATTTCTTAGAAAGCCGATCTATTTAATCTAATCTAACTTATTTACATCCCAGATAAGAAAAGCCACTTTAGTAGGAACTATAATTGGAATTGGAGGAGCAATGGTGAATTGCTGATGACTTTTTATAAAAGGCGTGGAAATTAAATTTTGGTCTTCCCACAACATTTTACTTTGACATCAACTAACGGAACACCCTCATGGCACCTCAAACTTCACATCAACGCTAGGTGGTTGCAAGTCCCTTTTTTTTTTTTTTTTTTTTGGTAAACTGGTTGCAAGTCCGTTGGATTTTGGAATGCTGCTTCTCTTACGAGTAGATTGTGGTTTGGATTTTTTCGTTTACTGTACGAAACTGGGTCTGAAAAGTAAAGAATATTCTAACTGTTAGGCTAGTGGAAGTTGAAAGGGATTGGAGCCAGTGGAAGTTGGGTTGAAATGTTAGACTAGCTTCTATCTGTTTTCATGTAATTACCTGAAAATTGAAATATTAGGTGATGTGTTTTTGTCAAGTGTGATTTTTCTGTATTAAAATTGATAAGAATTGAGTCATAAGAGAGCAATTTAAATAAATATTTGCTATTTATATTGATTCTTTCTATATTAATAATATTCACCTTTTGATTGTGTTTTTACAGAAAAAATAGGAGTGAAAATTACAAATTATAAAAATTCTCTTCATGCAACTCCACACGGATGTATCACAGTATAAATGCCAGCAGAATGGCGCAGACTGGCGCCACACCAGCGCCAACTGGCGCCGGATTGTGAACTTTGCAGCGAAGACTTTTTGAGTGACGCCAAATTGGCGCCAACTAGCGCCACATCTATGCCAAATTATGGCGCCCAAAAGATAAGGAAAATGGCGCCATTGTGCGCCCAAAAAGTAGGAGGAATGGCGCCAAGAAAGAAGAAGGATGGCGCCAACTTGCGCCAGTTCACGTACAATTGGTTTCGATTTTTCACAATTTGACAGTAACTCCGCACAAACGTGCGCCACACCGGCGCCAACTGGCGCCGGTTTACGAGAAAGAAGTACCGTGTTTTCGGAAGGGTATTTTTGGAAGAATAAAAGAGGCTTATAAATATATCCTCTTAACAGAACCCTAGAGATATCTCATTCCATTCAGAAGGAGGCCGACGGCAGAGCTCAGGAGGATTCTTCCACAGTTCTTCTTCTTCATCTATTTAACTTTAATTTTATGCTTTCATTGAATATTGGATTTTTAGCCATGATTATGCTTGACTAGTTACTTTTATTGTAGTTAGGGTCACAAAACCCTATGTGAACCCTTGTTACGCGGATTGATTTATAATTGCTCGTTTATATAATTATCTTTATCTCTACTCTGTTCGTATTTTATATTTTCTTTATTAGAATTGATCACTCTAATAGTTGATAATAGTCTGAGGGTTAGAACCCTAGATAAGAATTTGGGGTTTTCATCCTGAAAAGGGGTAGGATAACAGTTCGTATGCATGCTAGGAATAGATGTGTATTGAATTGCGGATGCCTAAATTATTGAGTTCATCGCTTAATTTTCATGAGGGGTTGCTAAGGGATTATGATTCCAATTGAGATTAAAGGGTTAAATTGCCAAGGGATTGAGATTTATCTAATTATTTTAGATAATAATTTATCCGAGTAATTTTATAAATGAATATTGTAAATCAATCCAAAGTAATAAGTGGGGATCATAAGGTGGGTGCGCTCTAACTACAATGCTTTTCTCATTTTTATAAATCAAAAGTCATTTTCTTGTTCTTATTTTTATTCTTCATCACAGAAAAATTACAAAACCAAGTCTTTAT